ATGACACATTTAAATGCACTCAGAATTTCAAACTGTTTGAAATACAGGCTACGTCCACACGTACACGGGTATTTTTGAAAACTGAGATTTTCCGTTTTCGTTTTAAAAAATAATCCCGTCCACACGTAAAGGCCGAAATGAAGGAAAACGCTGCTAGGAACATGCCAAAGCAACAGGTGGCGCTATATTCCTAACCGTGCAGAAAAGTTGGCCAATCAGAAGTCTAGAAGCCTCGGTGGGAAATAGTAAACAAAGGACATAGTAGCAGAACCAAGTCGTATGTGTGAAGGGATAGTAAGTGTGTGTATATGTAAGCATTTAAACACTGCAGAGAGTACAATTAACAGTAATAGTATTGTAGAAATTCATTTCACCGAAACAATAACGTGGCGCACAGTGTGACGTCAAAAAATGCGCACACCTTTGACGCCGCGTTTTCTCCGTTTTCTCCGTTTTTCTCGTCCACACGTAAATGCAAAAACTGAGTTTTCAAAAATATCCACCCTGGCCGGAGTTTTTAAAAATCTCTGTTTTCAGTGACCAAAAACGCAGTTTACGTGTGGACGAAAGGTGCAAACGCATAGAAAAATCTCCGTGTTCAAAAATACGTGTGGACGTAGCCACAGTTTTAAAAAATTAAACAGTGGAGGAATTAGTTATTAATCACCTCTGACTCTCTCCCACAGCGTGTCTTGGTGTGTCTTCCTCCTCTCAACCCCGAGTACGCGTGCTTATTTAAATTTGTGATTGAAGAAAGAAAGAAGTTACAGCAGATTAACGATGTTACCCTCCTTAAAAAGAAACAAGTTTTTGGGTTCTAGGTCTTTGTAGTTTTATATTTGGGGTTATGTTGGGATTAGGGTTCTATGCTGTGGGTTATATTCCCACTATTTCTTTTGTGTTATGTGTTGTGTTTACTTCCTGATAAAGATGCTTGACATGAGTGTTTTATTGTGCTTTCAGTTGTCAGCTTCAGTTATTCCATATTTAAAAAATATTTAACAGTGACAATGAGACGGAGATACTGGGACAAACGAAAGTCTCCCAAAAGGTAAGACAAGGAAATGTAACGGAGTGTTTGTAGCGCTCGGCTTCACTCTGATTTTGTATATTTGAGAAGGGCTGAGTTTGAGTTTTGGGGATCTGTACTTGAATAGTTAATGTTGCTGATCAGTTTAAATGTATTGATTGATTTTGTTTAATTTTATTTTTCAGAATAAAAGTTGGTTCAAGTTGGTCAAAAATGAATGAGACAAATGAATGCACTCTAAAATGTAGTAGTAGTTTATAGAGTTGCAGTACTACTGCATGTACTATGTTTTAGGTTAATCTATATTTATTTATTTATTTTTTCTTTAAAAAAGGTCATCTTTAAAAGATGGACTTATAATAACAATTTTATAGACAAATTATATTATTTATGGTCGCGGGGCGAGTGGGGGGGGGGGGGGGTGTGTGAAATATTTTCTTCTTCCTAAGGGGGGCGTAACAGGAAATATTTGAGAAGCGCTTAGTTATGGAGGTCCTTACATTCCTCTGTGTTCTCAGTCTGTTTCTCTGGTCTTGTCTCTGTATCGTGGCTCTCTTCCCGTTTTATTTCGGTGACTGCTGTTCTCTGTGTGTTGTCTTTACCTCACCTGTGCCCTCGCTGTCTGAGATCAGTGTGTTGTCCCTCCTGAGTGTGAGTTTTCCCTGAGCCTCCTTGTTCTGGGTTTCGTGCTCTACAAATGCTCTTTTTAAGTTCATCACTGTTTCCTGAATCCTTCACTCTCTGCCTGCCAGCACAGCCAGTTTATAACAGCAAGTTATGTTGATTCTGGTGTAAGTTTCTTCTGCTCTCTTTCATCAATAGTTCACTTTGAAAAAGACTCTAACTTCAGTTTACTGAAATATGATTCTATCAGTATTTGATGTCCACACTGCAGCTGAACCACTTTTTTTTTTTTTTATCTACAGTGATTCGGGGAAGATCCTGGAAACAGCTGATATGTATTCATGTACCAAAGCTGTGGATTATCATCACTTCATTGTCTTTGTGTGTGTGTGTATGAGGAAGTGTGTGTGTGTGTGTGTGTGTGGGTGTGTGCAGAGTTGTGTCAAGGCTTTTCGTCTGGAGGAGGATCATTCATCTCCTGAGTGTCGACAGCAGATGTCAACCTCTGTGTGAGTGATGCCTCTGAATGGAAACTAATCAGCCTGCTACACACACACACACACACACACACACAGAAATGGACCTGTCACGTTTGTGTTTTTGTTGAATTATGTGTCCCTCAGATTGTGACTCACTGTCTTTGTGTTGCTTTGGTGAGAACAGTAAAGGGCAGCTGCATTCTGATATACTGTCTGACATAGAAGTAAAAGTATGTAAATGATTATTCAGTTATTATACGGAGGAATTTGTTTGTCATTCTGATCGTTCTTCTTTATCATTTAGACCCAAAATACAAACGCTGAATTGTGATTCCTCCACCCTCAGCTCCACGATGCCCCATCACTGCGCCCCCTCACACCTCACATACTCTTCAACCTCTAATGTTTCTGTTTAATCTAAGTTATTATTATTATTATTATTATTATTATTATTATTATTATTATTATTATAGCTATGTATGCTTTTCTATTTTAGGCTGCTGGCTCATGCAGATAACACAGATTTATATTTTTATATTTGGTGTTTTTTCTGGAGTGTAAGGATCGTGGGCTCGCTGTGTGGACCGGACAGATGGTTTTCAGCCACGCTTGGAGGACCTGGAGGGAGAAACGGAGCGCGGCAGCCGCCCCCGTCCTCAATCGTCTCCAGCAGCTCCTCTGTGGTTTCTCTTCTTCGGGATTTCTTGTATTTGATTTTTTGGCTTCGTGATTTCGTGTTTCTCTCGCTGCCTGCTTAGTGCTGTCACTGTCTGTCTGTATATTTTTATACGGCCATGTTTGTTTGATGCTCGATGACTGAAAAGCACTTTGGGTCACCTCCTCATGTTTTCATGTGTGCTGTAAAAAACGTTACCTGACGTCTTGTCCACGTGCACGATTGGTGTTGTGTCGATTCAAAGTTCTCTTCCTGTTTATCTTTTCCTATTTAGTATTTCCCTCTTTATATTTTTGCACATGATGCTTTTTAATTTCACAGTTTTCTGGTTATGAAACCAGACAAAATATTTAAATCCAACCCCCCGGTCATTTCAAACTAGCTCTGCTGCCTACAGTGTTTTCCCTTCACTGAGGGCTTCATGACACCAGGAAAACAAACTTTCAGTCCACTTATTTCCATATTTCACAGAATAAAATAAAAGTGAAGACCTGTCTCTGACTCATGCAAGATTTCAGCACATTTCTCCTGTTTACATGATTTTAGAATATCTCTCTCAGTAAATTGTGAGATATCACCCCCTCCTTCCTGAACCAGAGACAAACGGAAAGAAGGAGGAGGAACCAGACAAAGAGACCGAGGAAGGCTGAGGCGCAGTGAGGAGGAGTGAGAAACCGTAAAACTCAACCTGAAGCTTGAGGCGGGTTTGGTCCTCAAAACTAAAAATATCCAAGTCAACTTCATCACATTTCCTATGCACACAGTATTACAGCAGTTTGATGTTAAGGTAGCTCAGAGAGGCACATTTTACCTGCAGCTGGTAACCGAAATCATTACCGGTGCTCCCGCTGAGCTAAGCTCGGTTGTTCACCGAGCAACGGAGAGAGAGTATCAGAATGCAGCTGTTTGGCGTAACGTCTCAGGAAAGCTGGGATAGCGATCAGTTAACCTCCTGCTGATTAAATCCAATTATTTGCTCTTCCAAAAGCTTTCAGTTGGAACCGAGAAGATCACCTGAATATGTAAAAAAAATCTGTCAGTGCATGAACAGAAAATGGATTCTGAGGCAGCAGGAGGAGAATAAAAAGACCTCTCTGCTTATAATATCAGCATCACAGCCCAGCTCTGAGATGGTTTTATCCCGTTGTTCTCATGGAAACTGAAATGTTTAAGTAATCGTTGATATTGATGAATAGTTCTCTCTGTTTAGCCCTGCCATCGACCCAGAATTAGATAAGTGGAAGAGAAAGGATTCTGTATTTGTTTGGGTTGTTCTGGCTGTGCAGAGCAAAGGATCATGGGTATGCAGCCTATGCAGATGTCCCATCACATTAGTGGATCGCTGATTCTGTCCGGGGAACCTGAGTGGCTCAGACGAGTTCAATTCAATTTTATTTATACAGCGCCAAATCACAACAACAGTCGCCTCAAAGCGCTTTAATTGTAAGGTAGACCTTACAATAATGCATACAGAGAAAAACCCCACAATCATATGACCCCCTATGAGCAAGCACTTTGGCGATAGACGAAAGGAAAAACTCCCTTTTAACAGGAAGAAACCTCAGAAGAATCCCCCCACAGCCTATGCCTATGCAGCATAACTAAGGGAAGATTCAGGGTCACCTGATCCAGCCCTAACTATATGCTTTAGCAAAAAGAAAAGTCTTAAAAGTAGAGATAGTGTCTGTCTCCTGAATCCAAACTGGAAGCTGGTTCCACAGAAGAGGGGCCTGAAAACTGAAGGCTCTGCCTCCTCTTCTACTTTTAAATACTCTAGGAACAACAAGTAAACCTGCAGTGTGAGAGTGAAGAGCTCTAATGGGGTGATATAGTACTATAGGGTCATTAAGATAAGATGGCTTCAAGCCACTACAGAGATGCTGTATGTATGCGGTCCTTTCTGGCTGCACCGTAGCTCCGCTGACGAACCAACCGCAGCACAAACGAGCATATTCCTGGCTGCTCCATGTGTTTCTCACTCCACCTGTAACATGCAGAACTGTGCATACAGCCAAGCCACATCATTTTTATGAACCCAACCAAGGAATGAACATGAGAGAAAACAGCATCTAAAAGTGAAGATGAAGACTAGGGGCAGGTCTCCAGGTTCAGACCTCTTTATACCAACCTTCCTCCTACAACAAGCAGTAAAAAGGTTTGGTGAACATCATTCTGCATCAGTTTCTCTCACCTGTGTTGTAGTGCTTGGTGCAGTAGCGCAGGTCCTTCTCTTCTTTCAGAATGAACTGAGGTAGCGTCAGCCCGTCGGCCACCTGCACGGCCCCCTTCTTGTCCCATTCGAATATGAGGTCATTCATGGTGTAGCCGACTGGAGGAGAGAGCAATGAGCGGGAGGTTAGACTATTTCATCACTGCAGAGGTCAGTTCTCATCCTCTGAGGAGGAACTGGACCTCTCTGTATCTGGCAGGGGTGCAAAGTCACACCCTGCAGTTTTAGTGGTTAAAAGGCCAGTTCAGCACAACAATCACAATCTGTATTGGCAATAAAATCCACTGAAGTAGTGAGGGAGAAAGCCTGAGCTCAGTGTTTGGGAAACTTTAAAGGCTTCTGTGTTTTCAATTAAAGAAGCAAAAGAATGGAAGGAAGAAAGAAAATAGGACGTAAGGAAGAGAAGATGAAGAAAGGAAAGAGGACAGAGGGAACACAAAAAAGAAGAAAATCAAGCAAAAAAGACCAAAGCAGCACTCGGGGAGGCTGTGGAGTTTAAACGATGGTACTGAGAGTCACACCAGCAGCAGCCTGAACACGGACACAGGCAGGATGGATCCATGCTTTGAACTTGTCAGACCAGGAAACGTTTCTCCAACTTCTGTTGTCCAGGTTTGAGAGTCTGTGTTAGCCGTAGCCTCAGTTTCCTGTTCTTACTGACAGCAGTGACACTGGTGTGGTCATCTGCTGCTGGAGCCCATCTGCTTCAAGGTTCAGAGATGCTCTTCTGCAGACTTTGGTTGTAGCGAGTGGTGACTGGAGTTATTGCTGCCTTCCTATCAGCTCCAAGCAGTCTGTCCATCCTCCTCTAACCTCAGCGAGTCATTTCCTCCCACAGAGCTGCTGCTGGCTGGATATTTCCTCTGAGCTCAGAGATGGTTGGAGATCAGTGTGTGAAACTGTTAGAGTGAATTGTTAAATGTTGTCATTTTTATGCTTGCCAACTCTGATGAAAGGAATTCCACTGTCCTTCCCCCCAGATTCTAGAGGTTCTGGGTGGGGGGCTGTAGTGTTTTATTGCAGATACATCCTATCTGGAAGTTCTGTTTCTTGTGATGTTGCTCCTGCTTTTATGACCCTTTGGTCAGGAGGTAACACACACACACACACACACAAACATTCTTACAGAAGTTCACACATACACATACAATGCCTTGTCTTAGAACCATGTGGGCGTTGCTTTGCTGTGATGTGTTTTGTGTGAACTGTCTCTCAATAAAAGACAGCGGGAGGAGGCCAGATTTGGGGTCATTTCGTGGTAGACATCAACGAGGCCTCCCTCGCAAGTGAAACGATGGATCGCTGTTGCCTTGTTTTTCTTTCACGGGAATAAGTCCTGGATACAGCGGGGTCTGAGTTTAGACCCAACAGAAACACTCAGACCAACAACCATGCCACATTCTTTCTTCATCATTCTGGTGCTCGGTCTGAACTTCAGCAGCTCGTCTTCACCGCTGAGCTGCTGCCGTGTGATTGGCTGATTAGATTAATGAACATTAATAAACAGGTGTGCCTAATAAAGTGTCTGGGGAGTGTAAATATCAGTAATATATACAGGGAATTACTTTATGCCTTAAAACTAACCGGTGGCTTAACTAGTAAATGTGTTATTTATAAACAGCGGTAAAAAGCGACTTTATGATGTTTTGGTGTCTGTTTCACAAACTCAGAGACGACTGCATTGTTCTGTCTTTGATTTACGATCACTGACCCTCTGCAGATGTACTTCACACTCGCTCCTGAGATTCCTCTCACGTCTGCTCAACAATAAGACCACAAGAAAAATCTATACCATATCTCTCACTCTGCCAGCTGCTGTTACTGATCGAATGATGTGTGTGTCTGTGCATGTGTGTGTGTGTAATTACTCACAGCTCTCCAGCTGCATGATGCAGGTCTGGACGTCCATTGGAAAGTTCTTCAGATCCATGGGGCAGGCCAGGACCAGCGTTATTCTGCAAACACACACACACACACACACACACACACTTTTACAGTAAGAGGATTACCTCGGGTTTTATCAGATCGACACCTCAGAAGGTTTGAAATTTCAGACTGAAATAATCATCAGTGGAAAAACTGATTAAATGAATCATTATTAGTTTACAAAAGATAAACAACTTTGTTTATGCTAAGATAAAAGCAGCAGAAATAATAAATGAGCTCTGCAGAGACGATAGGAAATTCACTTCATTTGAGCCAAACCAATTAAAGCATCAAACACATGAAAGTGTGAATGAACTGAAAGCCAGAGCAATTAGTTCTTTAATTGATTACCAATTGCAACAAGTTTGATACGTGATCCAATCAATAAATTCATTTAGTAAGCATAAATGAGAAACGCCAGTCTTCCCCTCCTGTGTGGGAACGTCATTCATTTAGACTGGAGATGAAAGTAGCTGAGCTCGTCTGAAGCTCCTTCCTCTGGATTTAACGGAGCAGCACAGCATTAAAAACAGCGTCTGATGGTGCCATTTTCAGGTTTTTCATATGAAACTATTTAAACACAAATGTGTTTTTATGTCACTGACACTGAATTTTGATGACAATTGCAAATCGGTCTGCAGAAAGGGTCACTGGCGCCTTTACTGCCAAAGGAAACTTTCCACACTCCCGGAACAATTTGAACTTTGTTTTATCCTTCTTTTATTGAGTCTGCTTTATCTTTTTGTTTGGTGGCATGGTTCACTGAATAACTCACTGAATAAACATAGCCGTCTATTTAATGACTGCACCACGTTCCTCTCGTCTCCCTGAGCGCACACTCTGCAGTTTACTATGACACCTTCCTGCCTCAAACTGAGCTGGAGCACCGACTGTGGATTAATCCAGACTGGAAATAATCCCCAACAAACAGTCTCTCACCTTCAGTTTGAAGAATATTTAAATAAATGCGACCTGTTATGACCGAATAGGAGAGAAGAAGTTCTGGGCTCACAAAATAAAGTACACATGTACCTTTGTGGTTTGCATGTTTTGGAGACTAGTCTCAAACTTCTCCTGACAGTATGGAACTTTAATGTAAAGGTTAAATGAATGTTAATTAAAAAACTATGCTGTATGAGACATTAATTAATTTACTTTTATTTTAATAATTCAGAAACTAGGAAAAAAAAGTCTTACTGATCACCCAAAGGCAGGTTTGACAGTGCTCACACTGATGCTCACATTTTATATAAACAGTGAGAACTTTTTATATATGGGCAACACAAGAGACGGCTCCTGATACTACAAGAAACTAGCAAAATATAAATGCAGCTTGTTGGCTGTGAAAAGGAAACCTTTAGGACCAATAATTAGCAGTAGGAGGCTGATTTGTGTAGATTGGTCATGCAGACAATACCGACAGTATTTTCAAGCTGGCTGTAGTTAAACCTTTACTCAAAAAGCCATCTCTAGACCCAGCAGTCTTAGCTAATTATAAAACAGCTAACAGATCATCTGCAGAGGAATGGCTTATTTGAAGAGTTTCAGTCAGGTTTCAGAGTTCATCACAGCACAGAAACAGCTTTAGTGAAGGTTACAAATGATCTTCTTATGGCCTCTG